TGTTTCCTGAGCTTCTCTTATCTGCAAAAAGGCTCTGGAGTCCTCTCTTAGGGCCCCAAGAGAATACGTCTGCTGGAGAGGTGAGCTGAGGAAGGAGGGGGACATGGTCCGAAGGAGGGCAAAGCCTGTCCCTGGACAGAGGGGCGGACCAGCTCGTGGTGTAGTTGCAAGACTCATAGTCAGAACCAGTCCTAGGGAAGGTTGAGCCTGCGCACTGGGGCAGGGGACTACTTCATGGAAGAGAAAAAGAAGCATGGAAATTCATGCCCAAATCTGTGTGTGAGGGGACATTTCTTAGGGTGTTGTTAGAGTTTGGAGACAGGAAGGGGATTTCCATATTGTCACAAAGCTCAATGTGTCCACACCTGAACTCCCTGCACACCTGTCCCTCCTCCTGGTGCCCCATGACGTTGACTCACCCTGAGCCAAACCAGGGTGTATCTTTCATGACCCTTTCTCATCTCCCACATCCAGTTACCAGCTCCTCTGATCTCTTCCTCCTAAATCTCCCCGCTCTCCTGCTCTCTCCATCCCCACTGCTGGGTCCCGGCTCAGGCCCTCACGCTCTGTCCCCTGCACCCCAGTGGCAGCCCCCTCCCTCGCCTGCTTGTCCCCAGGCCTTCCCCCCTCAGTGCATTCCCATGCTAGTGCTAGAAGGTCTTTGTAGAACACGACCCCCTCCAGCTTCTTTCCTGGCCTCTCCGCCATCAGACTCACCCCTATCAGCCCAAGAAACCAAAGAAATTTTTCTCTACCATAGCCTCTAGCACCACCTGACCCCCTTCCCACCTTTCCCTAGATTTTAAGATGCAGTCGCCCCAATTTGTAAGTCCCCCTGAGATGTGGCCCCTGCTCGGCCAACTCTCCCCTCATTCCAGCCCACAAGCCCAACTTCCCACCTTTGGGAACCACGTGCGGCCCGCTGGCCGCCCCCAGGCCCCTTCCACCCTGCCAGACACACGCCCCCATGTCTCCCACCTGCTCTCTGTCTAATCTCCTGTCTCATGACTGAGCCTGGGACACTTCCTCTGGGAAGCCCACCCACCCACAATCCGAACCAGGCATCCCTCATTTGTGGGCTCCAAGCCACCTCTGTCCTTGTGCCTGTGTCACTGGATTGTCCCCACTTGCCCGTTTCCCCCGAAAGCCTTTCATCTCGGCGTCCCTTGTCCCTCGGGCCCAGCACGTTGCCTGGCACGAAGTAAGCACCCAATAAACTTCAGCTGGAGCGCACGTTCGGTCCCCTAGGAAACCTCAGCCACGCACACTCTGCCACCCGCCCGGGTGTTCTCTGGGAGGGCAGGGCGCCTTTGGTTTTCACAACAGGAGATTCCTGTAGATTTCCAGCAGGAAAATCAAAATTGTTGCCTTTCAGCCTGATGGGGTACGTGTTTGTTCAAACTGTAGAAGCTTCAGTTTGTAGTGGTGATTTTTTTTCACCAGCAATAAAATTTCAGCAATTACGATCTACGCCAGAACCCTAAGCCTCCTTCCTTACCCTCAGGAGTTCCCCCACTTAATTGCAGTGCCGAGCTGAGGGAAGCCACCCTTCTAGAAACGAGATGAAAACCACTAAATGTGGCCACTGCTTTTCCTTTGTAGCTGGGGTCACAGCGTGGGAAGGAGGGGCTGTCCCGTGGGGCGTCGGTTTGTTTCCAGCAGCCGTCCCCTCCTCTGCCTCCACCCACGGCTCAGTGTGGTTTGGACCCCTTCTGCCCAGAGCTACTGGGACGTGTAACAAGAAGCTGTTTTTCAAACTCTGAGTCAAAACAGGTTCACGCACTCAGGGCCAGAGCTCAGCATCCGCGCCCCTGGTGTCCAGACTCATCCCATGTGGGCGATGCTCTGCCTAAGGTTTCCCTTCTCGGTGGTCACGGCTGGAGCGGCTGCAGGTTGGGAAATAGCCTTCCCTTCAGGATCCTGTTTCTTAGTTGTGGCTTGTTCACCTTCATGCTGATGGGAGACACATTCCCTATGCGAACCCCCTTCTGACTAGTGTTCTGTGGACTTCAAGGAAAGCTGTTTTGCTTCAGGTTCTAAGAATAAGTCTGGTTCCACCACTTACCAGCCTCAGGGTGGAGCACACTTTATCGGAGCTCCCGGGCCTCTGTCACGTCATCCATAAAACAGGAGCAGTAATGCACCAGCTCAGGTGGATTAAGTTGGAAAACATCTCTGGCATACATTTGGTAGCCAGGAAATATTAAGTTACTTCTGTCTCCCCCACCCCCTTAATCGACCTTCCCCCCAAGAATAACAGCAACACACCTTGGCCTCTGCGTGTGGTTTAGTTGGTTGGAATGACGTCTCATACGCCAGAAGTGTGGGCGTTCGACTCCCCATCAGGGCGCATACCTGGGTTGCAGGTCCAGTTCCCGGTCGGGCACGAATGGGAGGCAACCAGGTGATGCTTCTCTGTCACATCATGTTTCCCTCTCTCTCTGTTTCTTCTTCTCTCTCTAAAATCAATAAACATTGAAAAAAATTTTTTTAAAGACTAACAACATCACAACTGACTGACTTTAACATGAAGGGTTTACTCTTCACCCGAGGATATGTTTGTTGATTTTAGAAGGAGGAAGGGAGAGAGAGAAAGAGGGAGAGAAACATCCATGTAGGAGAGCAACATCTATTAGTTGTCTCCCATATGCACCCTGACCAGGGATCGAACCTGCAGCCTAGCTAAGGGCCCTGATCGGAGATCAAGTCAGCAACCTTTCCGTGCATGGATAACGCTCCAACTAGCTGAGCCACCCGGCCAGCACTCAGCGTGAAGGATTTAAACGCAAACACTTTAAATAACCCACCTTAAAGAAACACTAAAGCATTTATTTGTAAAAACACGAAGACTGAGCTCAGTCATTCTTCTCCACGCCCCCGACAGTCTTCAGATCCTGCTGAGTGGGGTCGGCAGACGGAGGGGAGCTGGATCCCAGGTGCGTGCTCTGCTCCTGCACAGGGCGTGGGTAATAAAGACCTGATCCGGAAAATCTGAGGTTCAAGAGAATTTTCTAGAAGCAGTTTTTCCGGAGGCTCCCTGCTCACTTCCCCAAGGAAGTCCTGTATTATATTTCATTGAATAATTGCTTTTCTGAACACAAATGTGCATCATCTGCTGGCCACCCTGAAGTCATCGGTGCCCCTTGTCCCTGTCCCTCGCACTCCAAAGCTCGGCAGCCACAGGCTCCTCCGTCTCCCACTCCCACCTCCCCGGCTCTCACTCCTCTCCTCTCCTGAGCTGCTGCTGGAGGCTCCCGCTCCGCCCTCCGGAGTCCCCGAGTGTGTGCTGCCGCTCCACACCTGTGCCCCAGGAACTCCGAGCAAATACAGGGCTCCAGACCCAGTAAACTAAGGCCCACCCTACTCTTTCTCAAAGGCAATTGCAATGCAAACAGAAACAACAAATAAAACAGATTAGCCACCCCCCGCACCCCATTTAACTTTGTTTAACCCTGTGTTGTCCCCACCCCAAATTAGTTGATAACAGGCCCTTTTACTGACCTCCCTCCTGGGGAACTGAGGGTCCTAGAACCCATCTTGGAGGATACGGATGGGCTGCCACCCCTCTGCTTGTTAGAGCAGCTTCGAGTCCACGCCTCGGTGGGTAAGGACGTCCATAGTAACACGCTGTGTGCTGTTAAACAGGAGCTGGCACAGCTCTGGGGCCCGTCATGGAACCATCTGCAGGACTCCTGCTGCACTAAAAAAGCAGAGGGTGTGATGAGCTACCGATTGCCCCCAGGTGCTCCATCTGGACGAATACCCAGAACCTGGCGGGCTGGTCAGCCCAGGGGAGGGGCCCTGGGTGTTGGGGAGGGAGGCCTCACTGTGCCCTTCCTGGAGCTTCAGAACTTTCTGTTGTTTTGAACACAGCGCTGACTCGCTCCAAATGTCTCCCACAGAGTAGTACAAGGTCCCTGGCCCTGGGCTTGGCCTCTGCCTGCCCACCCAGCTTCTCTCTTGCCCTGACCAGGCCAGTCCTGCTTTCCTGTTGGCTCCCTCCCCAACCCCCATCTCTTCTGTGACAGAAGCAATTGGGGACACTTCTCAGACTTGCTCTGCTCCACCTGGAAGCCTACCTCCCACAGAGCATCCCGGCCTGGAATGTAGGACTCCCTCCCCTTCACTTCTCATCTGACTCTAACTTGTGAGCCTGGGGGACCCACAGTCCCTGGGAGACTGTGACCCCTTGTACAGAAAGGCCAAGGACTCCAGGACTGAACAGATGTGACTCCAAATCCCTGTTAGCCTGCTGCCCTGGGGCACTGAGCTGTACTCCTCTCTTTCCCTTTGACTGTACAGGGAAGGATAACAAGCCCCAGCTCATGAGGTCTGGGCGTGTTGCTCATCTCTCTAGAGCACCCAGCACAGTACTTGGCATCTCAAAGGTGTTCTTTGTAGGTTTGCTTTCTTCCCTTCCCTTCCTCTGCTTTCCTGACATGACTATCAACCTATATCGTCCCCTTGGGTCTGCAAGTGCTTGGGTTCCAAAGGAAAGAACACAAGGGCCAGAAGTCAGCCTTTTATTCCAGCCCCTCTGCTGACTAGCTCCGAGAGGACACCGAGCCCCTCGGTGCCCTTCCCCAACACGAAATCCATACTTATCTCCACGCAGAAGCGCTTTGATCATCCCAACAGCACTAACACGAGGGGCTAGCGCTGCGGGGTGCGTGCAGATGCTCTCCTGCCCGCCAGCGAGCTCATAAGCATATTTGGAAGATGAGTCAGGTAATGTCTTCCATATGCCAAAGAGAAGATGATTTAGCACCATGCAAGGTGGACTAGAGGAACCCCCAGTCATTATCAGAGTGACCCTGGACAAGATCCTAATTGTCCTCGGCCTCCATGACCTCATCGAAAATAATAAACTCCCGCCTCCCAGGGGCGGCCATGAGGGTCATGTGAGGCAGTTCACATGGAAGGGCTTTGTAAATGAGGAAGCGCTCTGCAGACGTCAGCCAGCATCAGCAGTTCACGCGCATGTTTGTTTATTGTTGCAGCGGAGGGTGCAGGACGTCATCAGTCCCATCGTGTTCGAGGCCGCCTACAGCCTGGACGAGCATGTGACTGGAGAGGAGGAGAGGGAACTGCCGGCTCTGACGCCAGTGCTCCGCTGGAAGAAGGGACAAAAGATTGCTCAGAAGAATCAGGTCAGAACCTTAAAGCCCCCAATCAGGACCCAAGGGGTGCAGATATATATATCTGCATGTGTATATATATATATATATATGTATATATATACATATATATATACATATATATATATATACACACACACACACATATATGGCAGAAGTCACAGCCTTAGCTGCCTGGGGGACAGAGGCCAAGGCACACCCTCTCTGGGACGCTCCCTTTCCCAATCTGCAAAATGATGAATTTGATGGCTTTGGGTATTGCTTCTAACAACTGCATGATTTAAATACACTGAGGCTATTCTAAGCAGTGAGGAAATCATAATCCCTTGGAGGTCATGAACCAACCACCTGGCCCCTGAACTTGCGCCCTGTTCCTAGACTGTTTCCAGAGCTTAGATCAGCGCACTGTAGGTACTCAATCAATTTTTTATTGGTAGGGAGTGAATGGGGTGGAGAACCAAGAACTTCATCTTGCTAGAATTGGTGAATTAAAGATGCCCAGTTTAAATGTCTCTGGCAGACAGAGCATTGTGAGTGTGGTGGGCCACTCACCCCATGTGACACTCGTCACATTCGGCAATGTGCTATTGTGTGAAGAGCTTCAGAGTGAGGTTGGGTGTAGGTACAAGCCACACGAGGCCAGAGAGAGCCTGTGAGCTGATTCTGGGCAGCAGCGCTGGCCTGTCTGCCCTGAACCATTTGGACATGTGCGATGCTGACCACTAATCAGGAAGTACACAAGGCATCTCTGCTTCCAGACACCCAAGATCTTTCCTTAACACCCAAGATCGCCACGGGTCCAGGACCCTGGGGAAGGTCACTCAAAACGGTCCTTTGGCTAAACCAGACCCCTGTGCAGGGCAGGGGCAAAGTGTGGAACCGCCTGCCGGCCCCACTCTCCATGGTTCATCCCACCTTCTGAGCTTAAGGGAAAACGAGCAGGTCATTGTGCCCCACTTGCACGTTAGGGTTGTAAACAGAACCACTAAGAGGTGTTTGGGGTCCAAGATGTCCAGCTAGATGTTCAAGTAGGTGGTGATTTTTTTCTTTCTTTCTTTTTTTTTTTTTTTACAAAGGCATATGTTTTCTCCCAAAGCCTCTCCCGTGTGGACCTGGGTCCGGTTCCCCAGAAACAGAGCCTGAGACAGAAGTTTGGCAGCACCTGGTCCCATAAGGCTGTGGTCTTGGGAGAAACCTGTGAGGGAATGAGGGAAGCGGAAGGGGCTGAGCCAGGATGTGGTGTCAGCGCAGGTCTAGCCTTGGCCTGCGGTAGGAAACTGGAGCATCAATTACACTAGAGTTGTCTTCTGTTTGACATACGGGGCTGGCCTTTGGCACCCTTTATGAGCCAGCCATTGGCCGGCTGCAGGGTGTGGTAGTGGAGTGAAACCTTCTTGAAGGAGACCCTGTTTGGCTGAAAGATGCAGATGTGAGCTGTGAGCTGCCTACACACACATCAGCTGTGGGGATGGGGCAGCCGCTATGAAGGGACCTGGGCAGGGCTAACAGTGCCCGCTACCCATATACACACAGTCTACTGGTGATGCTGACTTTTTGAAGAAACCTCTTTCAAAACGCAAGTGCCCTGGAGTGGCTGGTGTGTCATGTTAGTCACTGATACTTGGAGCAGGCTCTGGGGGAGTAAGGAGAGCGACCAGGAGGACACTGGGGAATAAGTGGGGGCGGGGGCATGAGTGGAGGGGTTGGTGGGAAGGAGAGAGGAAGGAAGGTCAGATGAAGAGGCAGGAAGCAGTGACTTCTTTCTTCACTGAGAAGTAGAGATGGGTGTCATCTCCCAACAGTGGAGCAGGGTAAAGAGATCAGGCTGTGGACTCAGTAAATTTCCAGGTAACTAGTCCCTTAGTCTTAGTATTATTCTGCTCTCTAAGGTGGACTCTTGCTGGCCTAATCAACTTGGGTTATGGTAGTGGTCCAAATTCAGGGGAGGCATTTCAGGGTGCCGGGTACTTGTTGTGTCTCTGAAGTGACCCTAGGGAGGTAGCCATCTGCACGGTTCAGCATCTTGCTTCCCTGGGCACACCTTCCACAGTGAACCCAACTCTCCCTTCTCCAGATCCATCAGAGGCCCAGAGTAGACCTTCTTTAGTGAAAAGCATCTCCCAGCCTTTACTGAAAAATCAATATGAAAACATTATTCTTAGTTAGTTCTGGTTCAAGATGGTTGACCGAGCATAAATATTTATGTCTGTGCTTTCTGAGACCCCATTAGAATGAGTAGGAATGAGTGAACCGGAACAGGAAGGCGCATACCATGGGGGAAGGGGCATCAGTCAGTGAGAAGTTGTGGTCACATCCTGGAGTGAGTAAAGAAGGTGGAAGAGTGTTGGTGGGCGAACCTTGCCCATACTCAGTCCAGGTGCTTGTCTACTCACGGCCCCAGAGAGGTTGCAGTCACGGCCTGACCAGCGCTTAGTTACAGAGGGTGAAATGGGGCTGGGGGGTTATGAGAAGGTTGGTGTGTGGAAGAGTTGACTCCCCCCCTTACCCTACCTGTACATGCTGCAGGCATGCAGAATAGCAAGTAACCAGGCATTTTCTTCTCTGAAGAACTGAATAAACTGCTTTAGAGGTAGTGTGGGGTAGGATGGTTCCCCAGAGGAAAGCCTGCCTTCTGGCATCTCTCCAAATCACAAGAGCTAGCTTCCACTCTCACCACCCACCGGAACACTCCCACAGGTTTCCCAATCAGCGATTTTACCTCGTCTTAAATATGAATGAACAATCAAGGAAACCTGAGACTGGGAGGAAACGTGGTTCATGATAAAAATAATATATAAACCTATGGAACTGATTAGAAGGAAATAAACTGTTCAGGGAATAGAAGTGATTATAAAAAATGTAAAACCAACAAGCTCTATGTAATAAACATAAGCAGATTTAAGAATATGTTCCATTATAAAATGATTGAAATTCTATTTCTTTTTAAAGAGAAGAATCAGAGAACAAAGAAAGCATTCTCGAAAATTAATAATGCGGTTGCAGAGGCAAAAATTTAGTAGAAAGATGAGAAGATAATGGTAAGAAAGCAGAAACAAATAAAAATAGAAAAGAGAGTGAAGGATTAATTGACAAGGGCCTATATCCAAGTAATTGAAATATCAGGAAAAGTAAACAGAAGATGAAGAAAAAGTTATAAGACAGATAATGGAATTAAAAATTTTCTAGTGTTAAAGAGATTTTTTTAAAGCAAGACTTATAAGCAAGATAACCCACAAATATCCTAAATACATCATTTTGAAATATCACTGCTCCTAAAACATAAGGAGAATCCCAAATGCCTCCAGGATGATGATATTGAGGACGTACATCAGCTTACAACAGAGTTAGAGTCCCACCGTGTGGTCCATTAGACTCCTCATTAGCAAGATTGGAAGCTGGTATATGGTTCAATAAGGGCTTCAAAGTTTTCTGAAAGTGGTTTTGCAGCTACAGTTTTATACACAGCCTAACAGTCGAGTATGAGGTCAAAACAACTTTTCAGACAAGCAAGGACCTAGCAAGTTTACCTCTCTAGTGACGCTTCCAAGGAAATCACCAAGATGCGCTCTAACAGAACAAGGGACACAAGTAGAAGGAGCCAATGTAGGATACAAGAAACAGTGGAACTAACCCCCAGGAGTCTACTGGCAAGAAAAAAAATCAGAATTACAACTATGCAAGAAGTCTAAAGAACAATTGATCCATTTAGAACAGGGAAGGTCAATGGACTTCAAGAAGAACAAAATCAGCAATAGACAGAAAATATTCAGGCACAGTGTTGATTAAATATATTTTTATAGATAAAAAACAAAGGCAATCAAAAACTCCCAGAACAAAATAGAAACATGGTCAATATGTCATAGTCCAAATATAAAACAAATTAAAATATAGTGGAATTTTAGGCAAGAAGAAGAGTACAAGGAGAAGGACCTCGATACTAGAAGTATTCTCCCTTAAGTAAGAGTTGGGCATTCTAGGAGTTTAGCTTTGAACCCATAGAGGAGGATTTGTAATCATGACGCTCCTATTGGCTCTGCTGTGAGCAGTAATTGTGTAGCCACAATAACCATGGCACTGTGTGTTGGTTTTCAGTGTTTACAATCAATCCCACATACTGTGGTTATAGTATACATTGTAAATGCCATGAACTATGATTGTATAGAGATAAAAATAGAATCAAAGAGGTTCTCTCAATATCTTAATCTTTGAAGTTGGTGAGCCAAGAGATATGATAAAATTCGATGACATGAGAAATAGCTGTTTGTTACTTAAACTCACAGAGGTCACCAGCAGAGCAGCACTGTGTGAAGTGTGGTCACTGAGTCAGCAGGGTCAGCCTCTCCTGGAATCTGAGGAGAAATGGAAATTCTTGGGACCGTCCCAGACCCTTTGAATTCAATGTTCAGGGGGTTCATCTCAGCAGTCTGTGTTAACAAGCTGACCGGGCAATCTAATGCAGCTAATGTTTGAGAATCGCTGCAATAGAGGAGCTAAGAGTAGTGGTTTGCCTATTAAAGTTAGGAAGGTAGACGGGAGGGAGCCAGTATGTAAGCAACACTAATTCCTGTCTATCATGGCAGGAATTCTGTAAGATAATGTCCAAATCTGCTGAACCAAGAAGTAGTGGTATCAGCATTTTTTTTAGAGATATGGAAATAATCATCAAAAGAAACATAGTGTGGACGTGGGTAGTAGTGGTTGTCCCTGGAGACCAGAACGCAGTAGGGAAGTGTGTGCTGGGGGCATGGGGGAGGGTATCGTTATTTTTGCTTTAACCATGTGATTCTTTAGTTGAAATTAAAGTGCAGGACAAATACTGTCCTTAGATTGGGAAGATTGTCCAGGAGCCGGAGGAAAAAATCTGGGCAAGTGATCCTTGCTTATTCTCCTTTTCCTAATTAACAGGTCTTTTTTTAAAAAGATAATTTAATTACCTTCGTCCATGTGTCTTCCAGATGTTGGCTCAGTTTGAGGGGAAGAAAGAGTCTGAGAGCGAGAGCGAGGCCCACCCT